GCAAAAGGACTGGGGCGCGCGCGGGAAGGACGGAGCGACGTTGCCGATGGGGTCGCAGAGGTCGACCGTAGCGGGTACCGGCACAGCGGATCTGCGCGTCGGTCGGTGCGGCCCCCCGGGGGCAGCATGCGGCGGGGCCTTGGGTGGAGCTCCACACGGGGCGGACCAGGCATATGAGCGTTTCCTTACTCGGCGTTTCGACATTGTGCGGAAAGGGGGGGAGAGGGGGGTCTGGCTCTGGACCTCTGCTGAGTGTGACAATTTGCAGAAGTGCGTCCTATGGGGGAGAAGCTCCACCTGCTCGAGACAGGGGCCAAAAACATCCAAGATCTACTCCATGGGGAAGAGGGGGGGAGGAAGGTGCGAGTGCCCGCGCCGACCGGCAAAACAATGAATAAGAAAACGATCACCGTGCGGACCCAGATGGTTGGGCCTCAGGTGGGGCTCCCTATGGGGCCACGGAGCGTATGAGGGGTGCGCCGAAATGGCATGCGGACCTAGATGTTGGGGCATCGTGTGGAGCCCCCTTCGTGGGGCCACGAAGCGTGTGAGGGGTGCGCCGAAATTGCGTGGACCTAGCATGCGGGCCCAGATTTCTGGGCCTCAAGAGGAAGCCCCTTGTGTCGGCGGTGGACAAACCTCCCTTTAGTCAACCTCCCCTTAGTGAAAACGGCCTGGGACCGAAACCGACGGACCTGGACCTGCAAAAAGGACGGCCGCGACGCCCTCTCGCGAACCGAAAACGGCCAATTCCTTAATCGACATGCCAGGGTAGGAGGTCTATCAACCCCCGACCAAGTCGCATCGAATCGGAATCGGAAGCCATCGACATCGCATCGAGCCGAACCGGAGGAGTCGAGAGGAGCCCTGGGGCGGGCGACCTCGCTGTCGAGGGCCCGTCGCCCATCCGTCGGTTGGTGCACCGCCGACGCCAGGCGAATGGGGCCACGAAACGTCGGAGGGGTGCGCCGGCATGGCGCGGACCGAGCACGCGGACCTGGATGGTCGGGCCCAGGCGGAGCTCCCCGCGGGGCGGAGAGGCGCGCGAGGGGCGCGCGCCGGAGCAGAGGCCACGGAGGACGGAGGCGGAGATAGAAAGGGGCCCTGGGACACGCAAGTAAAGACGCACACAGACAACCGGATTCCCCACATTTCCCCATATTGGGGGGGGGTCGTCCTTCCCCCCACTTCCCATGTTTTCTGACATGTCCCTTGGAACCGACGATTCATTTGTGTCTGTGCGTCTTTTTGTTCCCCTCCCGAGGGGAGGGGAGGGGGGGGCCAGGGAGGCGGCGGAGGGGGAAGGAGCGAGGCGCGGGGCGCCGTCTCCGCAGGGCGAGGGCCCGCCGCCGCGGGAGGGTGGCGGGGAAAAGTGGGGCCTGCGCTGCCGGGGCCACGAGGCCCTGGCGCGAGAGAGTCTGGGCCGCGGCCCCGAGGCCACGGTCCGTCGCTGAAACTTTTTGGTCGGCGGGTCGAGTCTTCGGCCCGAGTCGCGAGAGAGCTTAAGCGCCAGTTGGGCTTCTCAAGAGCCCACGGGCCGGCGCTAACACTTACCATCGCCTGTTGAAAAACATCGTGCGCCCATCATCCACAGAGGCCACGGTCCATCGATGAAACTGTTTGGTCGGCGGGTCGAGAGCGGGCCTCTTCCGGTTAAGGGCCAGGCGGGGCGCGCGAAGCACTGATTGGGGAGACACCCCCCATCGATGAAACAAGCCGTCCGCGCTCCCGAGGCCACGACCGCCCTGGTGAAGACAATCGGTACGGGCTCCCCGGGCTTTCGAGGCGGCCGAGGCAGGCAGCCAAGACGGCCAGAGATGGCCCCGAGAGGTCCCCCAGCGGGGCTCGCAGATGCCAAAACCGCGGATGCAAGATGCCTGAAAAATTGGGGTGTCTTCACCTCGTCGGGCCTCCTTCAGCTCCAGACGGCCCGAGGGGCCTCCACGATTGCCCCAAGACGGCCCAAACGGGCCCGAAGAATCGCCAGAAATCCCCCTCCTCCTCCTCCTCCTCCTCCTCCTCCTCCTCCTCCTCCTCCTCCTCCTCCTCCTCCTCCTCCTCCTCCTCCTCTCCTCCCCCTCCTCCTCCTCCTACCCCTGCTCCTCCTCCTCCTCCTCCTCCTCCTCCTCCAGTCCAAGGAACCCCCTAGACGGCGAGGACGGCCCCACGACGGCCCAAAGCTGGCGCGGACGGGCCCCAGGACGGACGGCCTCGGAGGGCCCCTCGGCGGCCCAGGGTGGCCCGAGGACGGCCCCACGACGGCCGCAAGACACATCCCAGACGACCAGGAGGAGCCCAAGACGGCCCATGAAGCCCCAAGACGGCCCGCGAGGGCCCGGAGACGGTGACGGTGGTCAAAAGGGAGGAAAACGACGAAGACGAGACGACAACCCCCGACACGAGGGCCCCGCCAGGGTAACAGTGGAAAAAAAGAGGAGGACGACGACGAAGACGAGACGAGAACCCCCCACGCGACGCGGAAGAGCGACACGTGTCACGG